ATAAATTAGTCATCAGTCACAATTTTAAGAAACGTATATAGACACTATTGGGGCTATTTATGAGGATTTTTTGGTAAACATTTGGTAGTAAGATGAAAAATTGATGTTACAGCCGAAGTTTCTAAAGGAGTGTCGATATGCATTGGAATCGTTTTATGGCCACCTTCCAAATATCGACACGAAGGATTATGGTCGAATTATCACTACGGAACACACAGAGTAAGTGCTTATACACATCAAACCTTTCCCCACACCTCTTATTTTGGAGAAGTCACAGTACATAAAACAGAAATGATAGACACTTGATGAAATTTTGGTCAAATAATTATAGAGGCGACACGACTTAACTAATTACGCAAGTGGAAATGTTCTTCGTTTTCGTCAATTTAGACGCTTGAGAGAGATGATACTTAAGACAGAGGGAAGACTGGTTTTTGGCGGACTTGTAAATGTTTCTGGCAAGTTCGTTCAACCAACAGTGTACTGCGACGTCCCTGAATACGATGTTCTGATGCTACACGAAGTAAGTGACCACTGAGATGGCAATTTTTTATCCATCAACAAATCATGTAAATTAAAGATCTCAATTTCAAGTTGAGTACTACAAGGTTCCTAAAATTACTTTATATGTAGATTTTTGGGCCGATTCTACCAGTTATTACGATCAACTCTTCAGAAGAGGCCCTTGAATACGTCAGTAATCAGTAAGTCCTCCATATTCTTGTTTTCTGCAATGTAAGAACTTGCGAATTTTAGGGTTTAGGATCATAAAAGCGTTGTCGAATATACTGATACACTATTTTCTTTAAATTTAGGCGAAAACCACAAGCTCTATACGTCTTCAGCTCCAAGAAGAGCATTTTCAAAAAGTGGAAGAAGCATAGCGAATCAAATGTCATTATGCACAACGATGTTGCCATGCTGAAGGGCAGTAAGTAATTGACTGAACCTTCCATGGTTGCGATGCATTGAATACCCTCTTGAGAGGGTCTTTTGACATCATAATGGTGTCATTCAGGTGAATGTGTGAAAGTCATTGCACACATATTTCTTTCGAGTGAGTGACGAACACTGTGACATCTTAAGTTGGCTAAGAAACAATGCAAGAAAATAATGCAGACACCGTTAGAGAAATTTAGTGATTGGACGTAGAAGTTTGTTACTTAATTAATTGTTACCATTTTTTGGTAGCCAGAAAAACCTTTGGTGGAGTTGAGGCATCAGGATTCGTGCGATATCGAGGAAAGTCCTCTATTGAACTGTTCTCCCGTTACCGTGGGGTGATAGAAAGGTACAAAAAGGACGATGGTGATTGCAAGTAAGCGAAGCGAAGTCTGATAACTTCTACCTCCGTAAACGCGGAGCTAATTACTCGTGATTTTTCGTGTTTGTAATAAATTTGTGCCTTCTCTACACCATAGTGTAGCTATCAAGAAGTGATAGCTCAGATTAGTCATGGACTACATTTTTTTATGTCACTGAAAATAAATGATGATGCAATCGATCACCGAATAGACTTGATACGCCTTCATGGCTGCACCTTTACACTTATGATAGTTAATTAGCTGGAGCACAAGCTGGCTTGAGGACTACTTTCTCTACTATGTTGAGCGTAAAACTACCTTATTTTTTAGAATGAGGTATCCACCGCTTCACGGAAAGAACTCAACAGACTCTTAGCAATGGATAACTACGGGAACAAAAGAGCCTCCACTAGAGTGCATGCTGACCCTTGAAGTTTATCCCTTTTTTAAACAATGTGATAATCCTATAAAACCCAAAAAGTCGTGCTCAACTATAAACAGGCTTCTTAAACTGAGTAAACCGTAGCGTTGTGAAACGCACATTTTTAACAGTACATGACTCAGCCTTCCGCATCTCAAGCGATGTTGAAAGCCTACTTGAATAAATAAGTAAAAAGAATTTCAACGAGAGAATCCAAAACGAAGAACCATCGTACCCAGCGTCCACCCGACCTTTTCCCTTGACTTGATTAGACTCGGCCAGTGATAATTTCGCAAATCATGTGCATAAGATACCACGCAAATCTGACAACGCCTCGTGGTACATCTGGTACCAAACCCGCAATAACCGGCGCACCCCAAAATGGAACAGCAGACCATACCTCCAACGTCTATCACTTTTTGAATCTCACTGTTTGCATCGCAGATAAATACCCCCTAACGTTGGCCTCTCACTCAAGCTAATGAAGGCCCATCCTGCAGTAATATAAAGTGGCGAGGCACTTCGACAGAAGACTTCAATAGGGTTCCACTTGATGGTATCGAACAACGCTATGCCCAAACCACGATGAGCACACTAGACGAGCCGCCTAATCGACACAACCTAGCAAAACACTGACGAAGAGAACAAACTCTATCTCGAGATGCGAGATGTGACAGAAGAACACAACGTTAGATCGAT